AAAAAAAAAAAAAAAAAAAAAAAAAAAGACAAACAGACAACAGAAAGAAACGATGAAGATAAACACATAAAACAAGAATAAAGATAAAGAAGCTACAGGGTGGACCAGGGGTTTTCTCTTTAGTGGATCACATCTGCCGGCAATTGAGAGAGGAATTAAAATTACTAAAAGGAATAACAGTCCACCTTCTTTGCAATCTCAGCAAACACAGTTGTAACCTGTTTCTGTGCAAACACAGCTGTAGTTTGGTGGTTACTAATCACTAAGTTTACATTTTAGAGATTTTCTTTCCTCACATTTGATTTCCTAGTTCCATGCATTTGAGACAGTAATGGCAAATGAATTGCCAAAACATCAAGGGAGAAATATTAACACAACATTTCTTAAAGATGGATTTAAGGTAGGTATGAATCAAAACACATTCCAAACAATAAAATCACATTTAGATAGGCTTGATGGTCATTTTAAAGCATCATATAGTTGCCTACAAAGAAAGTATTGGCATTTGCCTTATAATTTTAAAAATTTCTATATTTTCTTTATGCTTATTCTGAATCTGAGTTCTCTTTCTATTTCTGGAGGTGGGAGAAGACAGGCAGCAAGAAATGTCAGGCAGTGGAAAGTAAAGAATACAATTTTAACGATATTTAAAGTAATTAAAAGAAAATACAAAAGTAATATTTTAATTAATTTTTAATAATCAGCCTGATATTTGTCTTCCTGTAACTGTGATTACTTTTTTTACTTAGTGAAAAGAAAGAAGAACTGAAATGATTTATTTGGAAAACTTGCCCATTTGGTAGGGAGTGGTAGAACACTGCCCAGATGTTAAGTCATTCAAACAAAACTCCATGAGAATCAAATTAAGAGTACTGAATAGAGGTGAAAAAAAACTACAGAATACAAAGGTCTCTGTGCTCAGCGGTCTCTCACGCCCTTTAGCTCACCAGGGGACAGTAAATGCATTGCTTAAAGAGGTTCTATGTTCCCAGATGTTCAAGCTGGAGTAATTGTGAACGCTTACCCTCATCCCTTCTCCACTTTGGGTCATTCTTTACCGGCCTCTCATAACACTCGTTCAATGTGATTTTTGTTAGACAAACGATCTTATGTTTCTGGGAATGGGAAATGGATAACGTGAACATGCAGTCCTGTCCCTCCAGACTCAGGCTGATTTATGTTCTGATCCTCACGCTGGAAGGCAAGGTAGTCTGTTGGCATCCGCGAGCTCTGCAGTAGTGGGTCTGACTGTCTGACTGTCAGCATTCCCACCATAAACTTTTGTTTTTCAGGGTTTATGACTTGGCTATAAAATGCTGCCTGCAGGGGGGTGGATCTTACAAAACTGTTTTATGTTACAAGAGAGGAAAAAAATAATAATAAAATAAAATGAAAGTCTGTAATTTCAGACACCATCTAGTGCTTCTGGAACGTTAAAAAGCCTGTAATTGTGCTGTCTCTGCACCCTACTGGCATTCAAATCAATGCTTTGAAGTTCAGTGGTTTAAATATAAAACGAAGATACCACCTTTACTTTGAAGAGGTGATTTTCAAAGAAGATGAATATAGCTTATAAGTAAAATAATAATGGAGGTTTTCTTCTGAGTCAAAGGAATTTCAGGATCTCTTGCACATGAACCAAGAACCACACCTGGGATTTTGTCCCAAGATGGCAGTGAAGAAAGACCCTGAGCTCACCTCCTCTCTCGAGCACACCAAAATTACAACTATTTACAGAACAGCTATCAATGAAAAAGACTAACTTAACAGAAAACATCTTCCACAACTAAAGATATATCATTATTTGTTTGGCTATAGCCCTTGTGATCTTGAGAACATGGGCTTATGTTCACCTATACCCGAACCTTTAAGTGGGTTCTCCTGCTTATCTTCTGTGAGATATTGTACAGGATTTTAAACTTCTCTTGCCTTCATTTTTTCTATAACTGTAAAATGTGAATATAATCATATAACAAAAACAATAATAATTAACTCAAAAAGCCAAAAAGAAAAAAGAAGGAGGAACCACAGTGAGACAGGTAGGAGGGGCAGAGTCATGGTATAGTCAAGACCCGTGCCCCCCCACCCCCCCACCGCCAACCCCAGTGGGTGAATCACTAAGGGGAGGATAATTACAACTGTAGAGGTTCTCCCCAAGGAGCAAGGGGTCTGAAACCCACATCAGACTCCCCAGGCTGGAGGTCCTGCACTGGGAAGACGAGCCCCCAGAACGTTTGGCTTTGAAGGCCAGTGGGGCTTACTTTCAGGAGACCCAGAGGGCTGTCGGAAATAGAGACTCTACTCTTAAAGGAGGCACACAAAATTTCACACGCTCCGTGAACGAGGGCAGAAGCAGTAATCTGAAAGGAGCCTGAGTCAGACCCACCTGCTAATATTGGAGAGTCTCCTGGAGAGACAGGAGGCAACTGGGACTCCCCCTGGGGACAGAGATGCTGGCAGCAGTCATTTCTGGGAGCTCGCTCTGCCATAATAACACTGGTGCTGGAAAGTGCCATCGTGGAATCCTCCCTCTAGTTTATTAGCCTCAGGACCCAGCTCCATCCCCACCCACCGGTCTGTTGGCACCAGTACTGGGACAGGCAAGAATGTGGAGAAAAGGGAACTCTTGTACACTATTGTGGGCATATAAATTAGTGCAACCACTGTGGAGAAGAGAATGGAGAGTCCTCAAAAAACTAAAAAGAGAAATACCATGTGATTTAGCAATTCCAGTAGTGTATTTATCAGAAGAAAACGAAAACATTAATTCAAAAAGATACATGCACCCCAATGTTCATAGCAGCATTGTTTACAATAGCCAAGACATGGAAACAACCTATGTGTCTATCAACAGATGAATGAATAAAGAAGTTGTGTATATATGTTGGGTTATTTTTATATTACATTCATTAATTTTTTTATTGAAGTATAGTTGATTTACAATGTTGTACCAATCTCTGCTGTACAGCAAAGTGACTCAGTTTTACATATATATATTGATACATTCTTTTTTTTAATATTCTTTTCCATTATGGTTTATCCCAGGAGATTGGATTATAAATTGTGTGTATATATAATGGGTGGATCCTAATCGAATCTGACTGACACCCTTTTAAGAAGAGATTAGGAGCAAACACAAAGGGCAGACCATGTGAAGATATGGGAAAAGAAGGCCATCTACAAGACACAGAGAGGAAACCAAACCTACTGCCACCTTGATCTTGGACTTCTAGCCTCTAGAATTGGGAGAAAATAAATGTCTGTTGTTTAAAGCCACCCAGTCTGTTGAATTCTGTTATGGTAGCCTGAGCAAACTAATATATCCATACTTTGTACCAAAAATCTTTTGTTTAAAAAACAAAAAAACAAAACATAGATCTTCTTAGAAAATGTGTTCTCTTGATGAATTTGAAACATGTTCCTTTCTCAGCAGGAGCATAAATGAAGGAGAAACTAATTTGTTAGAGAGAGGTTTTGTGGGGCAGGAGGTGGGTGCTGAGCCAAAGGCGTGTGCACGCAGTGTGAAGTGGAGCATGGCAGGCATTTAGTGCCTCCTGCACTGGCTAGGCCTCCAATAGCAGGCTGTACAGTCTCCAAGAATGAGTAAGTTGGACAATTTCAGAGACCCAGGTGTTGCAATTAGCTCTGCCTTGACCATGACAATCAACAGTTAACAATGTTCTGAAAACCTGAATGCCTCATGCATACATTCAAGTCTGGGAGATGTTTTTCATTCTGCTGACTTCTCTTCAAATCTTCAGACCTGTATCCTGCATACGTCTCCCAGTCTAGTATGTGTAGAACATTGTGGGGAATAAGAATTTTAAGACATGGTCCATGACCTCAAGGAAGTCAAGTTAGAGGTCAGTTAATCAATTCATTTTCATATCTTTCCAAGTGGGTTCACAGAGGTTGGTTTGGGATGATTTTTCCAATGATGGCAGGGTTCCCCATAGGGGGAAACACCTGCCTGCAAGGGGCTGCCTTCCAGATGACATTAACATCCATCCATTCATTCACGGTGATTCGGCTCAAGACCTCAAGACGCATAAACACACCCAACCATGGAGACACAGCTTTTCCTTTTCTTCTTTGTTATTGAGCAGTTTCGGTTTCCCTGTAGTTTCCTTAACTTTGTTTCTTCATGAAAGCACAGCAGGTACCACCATTTTAACTCCATTCCTGGCTGAGATCCTCTTTTGTAAACATTCTCTTAAAGTTAAAAAGAAAACTACTCATCTTTTTCCAACAATGAGAAAAGTGCAATTTGTTCTTTTCTGTTTTGTTTAAAACATCAAAAACGCACAGCCAGGGCCTCTTAAATGCAAATGCCCTCTGCACCTCCCCTTAGATTTCTGAGTTCCTTGAGACTACCCAACAGTTCCTGTTTCTCGAAATCTTTCCTCTCTTCTCTCTTCCCCTGACTGAGAAATTCTACCATCTTGCTCTTTAGAAATCAATGCTGAAACATGTGGATGCTTTGTTCACCCCATGGGGTCTTTAGCTCTGGGGTGCTGGGCATTTATTATCCCTAGTAGAAACTGATGGCATCTGATTTTGTTGATCTACAGGCATAGAGAGGACTGGGAAGGGGTTATGCATGCCATTACGACTTGAGACAGATATAAACATTCTCTGTACAGATTTTAGCAAGAACAACATATTTCTAGTTACACTGGAATTCTCTGACTCAAAGCAAAGATACAGTCAGTTTGATAAGCTACTTTTCTTTGAATATTCTATATTCCAGCACTCTTGTAGTGCTAGAAAGGGATGGAATTAAAGGGAATACAAGGAAAGAGCAGGGGTTTTACCTGGCAAAGCCAACGCCTCTGCTGACTCCATTAGCATCTCTTAGTATCCTTGTGGAAATGACATGTCCAAATGGTTTCAGCATAGTCTCAAGCTCCTGTTCATCCATAGAAATGGGGAGATTTGAGATATATAGGTTTGTTGGGTCTTGCTCTTGTTGCTAAAGGAAAAAAGAAACACATGCAGTAAGTTCTGAATATTGAGAAACATCGCAGAAATTTATACATTTTGCTTACACTGCCACCTAGATTCCAATCTCTAGCATGCTCTTGGAAGTTCTTTCAGTAAGGGTGGTATTTCTTTTCACTGAATTCCTTCTTGCCAGAATGCTTCTCATAGAAGCAATGTCATCAGTGAAAATCAAACTTTCTGTCTAGCCTTCCTTAGAAAAGTCTAATAAACTTTTATTGCAGTTGAACTAAGGTAAGTATGTATATTCTATGACCATAACTAGTGGTTCTATTACCACTCTAACTACTGTCACCACTAGTTACTAATGTTGCATTTAGTGAGTGTTCATAACATGCTAGGCATTGCTTTAAACACTTGATATACATTATTTCATTCAATATTTCCAGTACATATAATTGTTACTACTTTACGGTGGACAAAATTGATCCCTAACTTGGTCTAAGTTATACAGCTCTTAAGTGTCAAAGCCAGGGCTGAAACCTGGGGGTATCACCAAAGTCCATGGGCTTCCCTGTCTTGCTATAGTGCCTTCCACTGCACCAATGGGGAGAAAAGAAGTGTGGTCCTAGGACAGCATTTATCATCAGCCTCAGCATCAATGGGGAACTTTCTAGAAATGCAAATTCTTAGGCCCCACCTTGGAATCAGAAACTTGAGGGCGGGCCAAGTGATCTGTGTTTTGACAAGCCCTCCAGGTGAGTCTGATGACTGCTCAAGTTTGGCAATCACTGCCATAGACCACAGTTAAATATTTATATATGAATGAGATTATGAAGCTGTAGTGCTTAAATAAGCTTTGCTTAATAGAATGGGAAATCAAACAACAACTGCTAGCATTATTTCTAAGTGCGTGAATATCTTCTATTTCACACAATGAATAAGTTGGAACTTAGTTGTATGCACGTCTCAAAATAAAGCACAGACAAAAGCCTGACATGATTGATCATTAATATCAAAACAGATCCCATATTTAAATGAACTATTATATTTTAACCAACACAACAACTTTAACTTCAAGAAGAAACATGATTAAATTGGAAAAAGCAATTCTGAAGTCTATAGGAAATGACATTATGTAATAGTAAAATATCTTTTGTGAAGAGATGATATATTCTGTAGCAAATTTAAGGTTTTAAGCAAAACGAAAAATACAGTAAACAAAATTCCAAATATTATTACAGATCAAGAAATAGTTTTGGCATGAAACTAAGCTCCATTACTTTTAACAGCTCTAAATATTCAGACAGGCCATAATACTTTTATTAAGCTTTGAGATGAATAAGATCTATTATTAGGTTCTTTTTGAAACATAGTTTAGTTTTCAAACTTTTTGATCACCACTAAAAACAGTGCAAATAAGCAGGTAATCAAGCAGGAAAAGACAACACAGCTTTAGTATTTGGGAATAGTGTATATGTAGAAACTGTACAACTGTAGTCTCTCTCTCTCTCTCACACACACACACACAGACATACACACACACACAGACATACACACACATACAGACTTACACACACATACACACACACATGCAGACATACACACACCCCGCTAATTAATGGCATGATCCTAGAGAGAAAACAGAGATGATATTATTTTTTTCCTAAGTGGACATGATCCCCCACCCAACCGCTGGGTGATGAAAAAAGAAAAAAAAACCTAAAAGAAAAGAAAAAGTGGTGTTTCAGGTACATAATAACAAACCTATGTATATATGACTTTTGACTTTATATTATTTTACTACCCATTCTTTAATTTTAATCTTCACATCATCATTCCAAAGGTAGCTAGGCAAATATCATCATACTTATTGGATAATGAGGAAATGGAGGCATGAAAAATTCATCATCTCACCCAAGGACAATCCAATAATTAGTGACAGCGTTCAAATTAAATTTAGTCAGATTTTCTATCTTCCATCTTAGTGTATTTTTCCAGTAGCCCAATGTTTCCCAAGCTTCAATCATTCACATATCATCTTAGAAAATTTGCCAGCCATGTACTATAAGTTTATTTCCTTAAAAGTTTTCTTTTTTATTAATTAATTTTTATTTATTTTGGCTATGTTGGGTCTTTGTTGCTGCGTGCGGGTTTTCTCTAGTTTCAGCGAGTGGGGGCTACTCTTCGTTGTGGTGTACGGGCTTCTCAATGTGGTGGCTTCTCTTGTTGTGGAGCATGGGCTCTAGGTGGGCGGGCTTCAGTAGTTGTGGCATGTGGGCTCTAGAGCACAGGATCAGTAGTTCTGCTGAGTACATGGGCTTAGTTGCTCCATGGCATGTGGGATCTTCCCGGACCAGGGATCTAACTGTGTCCCCTGCACTGGCAGGCGGATTTTTAACCACTGTGCCACCAGGGAAGTCCTTAAAAGTTTTCTTTAAATCAAAATACCTTTGGGCTTAAGTAAATCCACTGAAAAAGATAACAGTATGTTGCTACCATAGCTAAAAAGCCAGTATCACTTGGCATAAGTAGGTTACTATCAAAATTGGCAACAAATTCACATGATTAAATTATATTAGATACTGTTTGTTCACAGAAGATTGTGACCCTGGTGGTTGACTCTCTCTTAGTTACAAATGAGATTCATAATTAAGAGAGGTATTAAGCACACTAGGACCTGACAGAGTCTTTTTCCTGTGAAGAATCAGAATTGAGAAAGAGTTGAGAGAAGAAAAACTTTCCTATGATGTGATTTCTGGAGCTTATTCCCTAGATCAACTCAGGTTCCAGTGGGAGTTCCTGCTTAACCCAGAGAGTGCACTGCAGAACATGGCAGTCCCATGAATGGGTTGGCATTTGCCCAACATTCTGTATACCTTCATCCTTAATGAGGCTAAACAACCATAAGCAACTAATCCCACTAGTGAAGCACAGTGTACAGATCTAAGTAGCAGTACACCAGTGTATCCTGATTCAAGTCCATTTCCAAATTCCGCAAGCATAGAATGCACTGCAACTTCTCAAAATGGTGTGTAATTAACATACGGAGCTTAATACACAAGAGATTGCCCAGTAGCTATTTTCTGAATCCAAATTCAAACAGCAAGGCCAACTCCTTAATCTGTATTCACAGAGACAGTACAGAATTGGAGAGTGTCATTCCTTAATTTGTATTTACAGGAAGAATACAGCGTTTGGGCAGTGTTATTCATTAAGTAATTCTCTCCTTTGAAATACAATATAAGTCTTGAACATATTCGTTGATGACAATAGAATTTAATTTCTGCATAGAATGAACTTTAAAATAATATATGCATTTATATTTTTATTTTCAGTTTTATATTTATGTACCACATTTATGTAAATAGATGGGCTCTTTCAAAAGGTTCTTTGGCACTATGAACCTAAAAGAATGTGCCTTTTAAATTTGCAGAAAAATAACTCATGTGATACCTGCAATCTAGAAACTTTTTAAAATCTTTTTGTTTTTTAACTTAAATTTTCATGATCATTTAGCTCCAGAATGGACCTAAAGGAGCATCTTGTCCAATCTGATATTTAACAGATGGGAAAAACAAAAACGAAAACAAGCTAAAATAGTGCTCATGACTTACTCAAGGCCACTCAGCTAAATAGCAACAGGCTAGAGATAGAACCCATATCCTTTCATACCTGGTCCAATGTTCTTCCCAGTTCTTAACACTGCCTTCCCTCCTAAACATCAATGAATAACAGATGGCAAATTGTGGTTCAAAGGAATATTTGCATTTACAAGAATAAATATCTCTGAATCCCTTATTTTATTCACTTTTGCTTATTCATGAAGTAGCTTTAGTTACAGAGGTAAGGCTACAAAGAAAAAGGATTCCTAGCCTTAGTCAGCATTTCACACATCATCAACTGAGTGAATACTCTGCAGTGTATGCTAGTCTGTAAAAGTATATGACTACAATTCATACATCTATTACATTTAATTGACCATCTCACCATAAGTAACTCCTCCATTTTGCTCTGTTTCTGTATCTTTTCATCTGTATGGGGATTTCTTGATTTATTATTTAGTTTTGTCAAAAGATTGTGAAAAAGTTAGAATGGTACCCTCTCCATCGTTAATGGGAGCAGAGACCTTGTCATTTTATTTGAGAATATAAAATTTTTTTTCCTGAAATGACTTCATTTTTCTCAGATTTTTAGTGTTAGGTTTATTGGTACTCATTTGCTTTACTACAGTTGAAGACAATGTCAGAACATTTCAAGGAAGCTTAGCAAAATGAATACAAACGGAGGGTCAAATTATTGCTCATATATAGATCAAAGGTTATGTCTGGGGCCGTGTTTTTTGGATACACGTTATGACTATTATATATACATGATTCTGGAAAAGGTAACTACCTTTGAAGAAGATTTCAACACTCAATCTGACAACACTCATGCTTGATGAAATTATATTTAAATATTCAGGAAGTAGTTATTGGCATTAGGAATTTTAGAGCAATGTTTCTCAAGCCACCTGTGGTGGGGACCATTTTTATTTCCAATCTGTCACAAACCAACATTTGCAAAATATTTACATTTTTCAAAGTTAATAGAAAAAATTAAGAGACATACCAAATGCAAGTTGCAATTTTTTATTACTACATTAAACAAACCAAAATTACATTTGGATTAAATGTCATGCTAATGTGAACTTGTTATAAAAGGTTTTAAATGCTTACTCTCTATTTCTGTATGTATTCCCTTGTGAACAAGTACCATTTGGTGGACCAAATTTTAACACTGTTTTAGGGGACTAGTTCCTATTTTTTTCCACAATAATATATTACACTATGGGTCTTTCTAAGTTATTAGTTTTTGCCTCCTTTACATATTATCAAGTTTTTATTAAATCACAAAATTATATGTAATCAATTTATAGTCACTTTTAACTGTTAGGTGGACAAAGCTGTCTCAAGATGAATTGTCCTGAGCAGTGGTGACAAAATATCCTGAAATATCCTGAAGCTGTCTGTAACAACTCTAAAGCA